ATTGGCAAACTTTTTCATGGATGGGTGGAGAGGCTCGTTGCTCAGAGCTTAACCGGACAATCCAATCAGCGTGGGCGGCATGGTGCAAAGATCTCGCGTTTCGAGCTGAACGAAGGATTGCGATCGTACAACTTCGCGAAATCTTATAGCTGGTCATGGACACGGATGAGAGTGTTGCCCCGTGGCCCTTCGAGCGTGATTCTAAGCATGGAAGCCATAATTTCTCACCCTTTCGTCGCGACGAGCGACATTAGTTCCTTTTCCCTTCAGGGTTCTCCTTAATTGGAGGATCGACCTTCTCATTATTCTAAGATTCTAAGATTTTAAAATACCAAAATTTTAATATTCCAATATTCTAATACAAATAGGCCCAAAATCAATCCACCAAATTACACTCTAATTACTCATTTACCTCTATGTTGATAACCCTTTATGGCCAGCTGCGCCATAGCAAAAGGGTTAAATGCAACGCACGAATTTAATAAACCACCAATAAATGGAACAGCGTATGGTCTTTGGCGAGGAGTTCGTGGTTTCACGCTTGATACCCAGGACAGATCGTTACCAGGTAAAAATAGATTATCATTAAGGGGAACCACGTATTATCGAGCCACGATATTGGAGCAATAAAAATATCATGAAATTCCAAGAAAGATGAAAGGAATTTTCTCACCATCTAAGTTTCCATCGATGGAGATCAAAATTTACATTTCACTCGTGCTGATTGCGAATCGAAGGTACGCGTTGAAGGGAAAGAGAGGCAAGCGTAAACGTTTAATCCTCTTAAGTTCAACGACGAGATTCAGAGAGACACACTCGTCGAATCGAATTCCAGAATTCGTCCAGAATTAAGCGACACTAGATATTGCGAAACTTCGCCAATGACGTAGCGAAATGGTAGTAGATGAAAGAGAATTCGAGCCAGAAACCGGTTGGGAGAACTTACGCAATTAGCAACGCGTTTCCGGAACGCGATACGTGCTTCTCTTCGTTCCGTAGAAAACATCAATCGTATTCTAATTGTCTTAATTACAATTACAACAGATCCTATTTCGCTAGTTTTAGACAAAATCGAATGAATTTTATTTATAATCCTTGAACTGGTTATTTTTAAACAAACTTGTTCTACGGGTTTGAACTCTTAAATAAATAAAATTATTTACAATAGAAGTGGAGAGAGTCATAAAACAGGAGGAGAACCTGTTACGCTCTAGTGTCGTCGATCGGCAGTGAAATAAAACAAAATTAAAGCGGCACTCGAGCCAGCCCGTTGGAAATTTCGTGGACCCGTACCACTCTGGACGTGTTCCCATTTAACTCCGGCAACGGTTAACCGCATTGGATATGTCGTAAAGAAAGTGCTAAAAAGAAAGACGAAAAGACGACGGGGCGTTTCGTTACGGAAGCCTTGGCCGATTGAATTGCCGGTCGGACAGTAAGGAACGTTTCAATGGAACAGGGAAGCAACGCCACTTGGAAGACAAACGACGATCGTATCCCCGGTGATATTTGATGCTGTGCCCGGAACAATAAAACAAATTCTTTACCTCTTCGCAGTGAAACGGTTTTCAACAACAACCAATGGAAACTGAAGTTTACGCTCTCTTCGAGCGAAACATTTGAGAAGGCGTTGTTCGAAGCGAAAAGAACTCTGAACGATAGCAAAATATGACAAGAACTTTAGATTTTTAAAAATAATAGTTTGACAGAGACTTTGGAAATTTTTAGAATTTCTGAAAGAGGTGTTTGACCCTTTTTAATTCCGAAATACAAAATTTTGTTCCAGATTAAAAATTTGCAAAATTGCAAGATACTGCAGTTTTAAACGCATGAAATTACGATTCTCTGATAACCATTCAACGATGAACGATTACAATTTTCCAGAGGCTACGTTAATTTATCAGACGATGAGCGTCAAAGCGAAAGATGAAGGACGCACAGAGTGGCTGTTCCATGGATTTGAATCTCGTTTGCATATCGCGGTGTATCGGTTCGGTGCTTTGACTATCGCGTTATCAGCTCGAGCGTGTGTCCGTTAATCCGCACGGAACTCCGACTCGCTGGACTGATGCATCGAAATCTTCCGAAATCAGAGAGATTTCGAGCGATGTTTGCGCGTACGTTCTATTTCCCTCTGTGCGGGGGGGAGGCAAAAAAATTGGAAAGAAGATCCCGCCGGTGAATGTCAGTCACGTTTAGATTGGATTCTGAAATCCGTTGCTGGAGAAATCCACAATGGATCGAGCCTCATCGACGATCCGTCGTTTCTTTATTTCAGACCCGGCAATCCAGATTCCAGATTCGTTCGTTTAAAACGAGTCCTGTCAGGATCTCCTTTTTTTTCTTCCCTTTTTCGGGATTCTCTACATCGACACTCGCTGACTGCTCTTGATTTGCAAACAATTGAATCGAATGAGACTCCATTTGGTCTCTGAAATACTGGTAGATTGTTTACTGACAGAAATAATAAGAATCGATGCTTGCAATTCATCTCTATCTATTTTATAATATTTTTTCTAACACCCTATGGATCAGAGTTTTCATATTTAACCCTTTGAATGACGGAGTCTGGGTCAATCGAGACCTAAATACGAAATTAAATTAAAATTGGGGCTCTCTTCGTGGTCCGTCATCCGATTAATTTGATTAAAAACTTTACGATCGACCTATGGGATAAAATCATGGCTTAACAAAAATGAAAGCAATATAAAATCCGCATGGAGATGCATCACGCGAAACGGGTCGCTTATTGGTCTCTCAGGGAGTAATTACAGGGTAGTAATTTTTGTGAAAAACGTCCAGGACAATGAACGTTAGCGGGAAGGTTTTTCTACGTGCACTGGGATCGAGGACAATTGGGTTACAGCAACGCTTTGACGACAAACACTGCTGTGTTCCATGGCACACCGTAAAACGTGCCGCCTTTAACGTGGGACTCGAGGTTGCTTTATTCAAAAGCCACCGTCGAGACCAGCGCAAACAAACCGTTCGCGAATAACACAAAGAAAAATGAATGTTTGACGCGCGTGGCAGAAGGAACACGTCGTCCTTCTATTTAATAAATGAATCGAAGGGAATCATTTGAAAAAATGATAACACGTTCCTTGTGAGATGTTATATAAAAGTAAACTTCTCGAATAAAATATACAATTTTTCGATTATACAGAGAATCTTTTTAAAAGATAAATTTGAGATTCCTACTTCTATAAAAGAAAATTGAGCTTCCTCGTTACGTAAGAATTTTTGATAACCCAGAAAGAACGAAACAAGGTTAACAATAGCCGCGGGGAAACACGACTTCTCCATTAGAATAATTGCGTATTCGTAAATTCTATTTTGGAAAAATCCCCTCGAGTATTATCTTTTCTTCCCTTACAACGGCTCGTTATCCAAATTTTCATCGTCCCGTTGAATCAGTTACAGATACCCGTTCTGTTCGAATATTTAAGCCACGAGAGCGGAAAAAGAGAGGCGAGGAAAGGAGGATCGATGGTAATTCGAGCGGGCAGCTTTCTAGATAAGATTTGCATTGAAAGTTAGACCGCGCTCACCTTTTCCGCGGAGTAACAGCAACACCTTGAAAGATCCCATTATCCTGCGTCGAGCTATTATTATATTTTGCATTTAAGCAAACTTCAGTAGTCGTAACTTCAACCGTCTTACCATCCACGAAGAAGTTTTCCAGGAAGGAAGCTTTTCTTACCGCCATTTCGAGCATGAATAAAATAAAACGACCCCCTTCTGGCCGTCAAGCTAAGCTTTTAATCCTTCCGTCATCCCCTTTCGTTGCAACTTGCTTTTAGATATAAATAGATGGTCGGTAAAATTTTTGGAAGAAAGAAAAAAGGATCGCAATTATGATACAACTAACGTCAAGAGGAAAGGGTTAATGTATTTCCGGTGTCAACAAAGTCGTAAGCTGACGCGCGTTAATTTATAATCTTAATAAGCGAGTCGTCGCCGCGAGAGGCACTCTCGTTGTTTTCAACGCAAAGTCCGCTTCAAAGAATCTCCTCTTTCTCCTTTTTCTTTATCCAACGAGCTGCAACTCGACACTTTTGTTCCCGGAAGCCAGCCAGCGAGAAGTTTCGAATAATTTTTAAACTACTTCCTTAAGATAGCTCTAACGAATTTTGATACTCTAAGAAGAAATCTGTGTCGCACTTAATTCTCATCCGATACCCGACATTTTTCGCTTAATTTAGCAACTTCTATCTGCTATTTTTAACACTTTGCACTTCTCAGAAATTTCTATACGAGCGATTGTGAGGCACTCTGCGAAAATTAAGGTTGTTAAGGAAAGTTTGTATAAGTAGTTGGAAAGTTATCGGCATAACGTGGATAGAGCTTTTTCATTTCTTTCTTTTTTTTTAAAAGAAAGTATCTGCGAAACGTGTAGAGCAGCCGTGGTCGACGGACGGGGGGTAAGTTCACGATGAAATCCCTGATACAAAATGTTTCACACGAGGCTGGAGATTAAGGGCACGTCGCCGGAGACTTTGCCGTCGCTTACAAATTTTCATTTAACTTCCCCGAGGCCATTGCGAACTTTCGGTAGGACGCTTTAATAAGATCGTACGGTGGATTTCATGCGAACGCGGACCAAGAGTTTTTAAACCCGAACATAGCGCGATCGTGAAACTTTTGAAAAGGATCTTCTGGCTTTGCGAACGGCCACGTTCGCGCTCTTGTTTCTTTTCACGGATAAGGATTCGACTGAAACTATTCTGGAATTACTTAAAATTAAGCTTTCTTGTCATTTTTTACTAATTTTCAATCGTTTATGAACGTCTGTTAAGATTTTATTAGAAAAACTGTGGAAAGGTAGAGTTAAGTAGCGCGCAAGTAGTATAAGTCAGGCATTGGTCAGACACTGCAGATTGCGCACTCTACGGTAACTTCTCGCTCTACTATTTCGATGAAAACAAGTAAATGACGTATTTTTAATAAAAATTAACAAAATTATATAAAGGGTTAATAATTTCATGATTATTTTCTTTACGTAATCAATAACTTTTGTAATTTTTATAGAAAAAAAGAATTATATTTAAAAATTATTAAAATCTGCACTATAAAATTGCAAATTTAATTTATAATTTTTCCCTTTTTTTACTACAAATTAGAAGCCTGAAAAATGTAGACACTCCATCTCAACCTAATGATATTTCGCTTGGCAATTAACAAAGTATTCCTTCGTTGATTAAAAGCTCCTATCTCGTCGGGAGAATAAAGACGTTTTCACGCGTATCAGCATGCACAATGCGATAAGTGTACGCGCCGGTGGTAAACGCGGCCGATCGCATTTGCGAAGGGAAACGGGCTGTAATCTAGGCCATGGGACCCGGAGTCCTTGTGTTCGTAGCACGGCACACGTTGCTGCTAGACCTACATTAGGATGGGCAAAGTTCGCCTTCCAACGGCGCGGATGCTCGCTTTTCCACGCGCCCCTTCCGGCCGAATTTACGATTCAACTTCCGTCGCCTCTGCGCCATTAAATGCCACCTCTCGCTGACGGGATCCCGGATTTCGATGGCGGCTACACGACACCGTCACGGATTTATTACCTTCCGACTCCGGCACATTGAATTTTAAGGATCGAAGAACCTATTTTGTTCCCTGTCTTTATTCAACGAGATTCTTCATTTCAAATTGAGTCAACGGAGAGGGAATCGATAGTTGATTGAACGATAGGGGAGGCAGATGTAATGGAAATAAATTTTATGGTGACATATGAGAGCGACATTCTTTGAAATTTTTAAATTAGAAATAGAAATGGTTAGTTAAATTATTAAATGCGAAAAGAAAAATGTCACTTCCATCCCTCTGGTTCAAAGTGCATTATATGATGTACAAAATGTACCAGAATAAGGAGAATAGATCTGTTTTTAATGACACGAGACATGTTTGAAGAACAATTTGAATCAGGTATGCTTAGCCCCTTCGCTCGTAACACATTAATAAGGTCACAGACTGATGTGCACCGATGCAATTGCCCCGACAACCATGACCTAATTCTACGAATTAAGTAGCTTCCGATTATTACGGGCAATGTTATGACGATTTATGGTATCATTTTTGTTATTGGAATGTCATTCTGACCAAGTTCTTGTATTGCGTGCATCAAAGTAATTGTGCATCTTCTTTGTAAAATTATGCAACTGCAATGTAATTTGCATTGGTTTCTCTTTTCAATGGAACCAAATCATCGAATGCAATTTTGCGAATTATAAAATGAGCATGAAATTTTGAAACGCCTATTAAATAAATCGATGAAGACATAAGGTATAGAGCATATCGTGCACACATCAGCTTCTATGAGTCCATGCCGGTGGCACGGCTTATTGGCAACCAGTTGCACGTGCTTACAGGGATCTAAGCTGTATACGAAGCTTCGTACGAAGATATAGACATAGACGTAGGAAATTTCATCGTTTGGTAAGAGCAGAAATTGCACGTGATAAGCTTTAAACACGCTATCTTTCGCGACATTACTACGATGCCACTTGACAGTGAGTCTGTCTAGTTTGACATCTATCAACCGATGTCAACGAGTTCCTCGCTGCTTGTTCATTAACGAGAACCAACTGCGATAGAGCGAGGAACACACGACAAATATTCTTAACCCTTTTGCTACTACCAATGAATAGAAGTAGGAATGTGTGCAATTTGGAATATGTGGAATATGGAATGCGTGCAATTTTGAGAGATTGCAGTTTGGAATGCGTGCAACTTGGAGTGCGTGCAGTTTTGAAGGATTGCAATTTGGAATGCGTGCAACATTCAAAGACTGCAATTGTGAATGCGTGCAATTTTAAAAGACTGCAATTTGGAATGCGTGCAACTGAAAGATTGTAATTTGGAATGCATGCAATTTTAAAAGATTGCAATTTGGAATGCGTCCAACTTTGAAAGATTGCAATTGTGAATTCGTGCAATTTTGAGAAATTGTACTTTGGAATGGATGAAACTTTTAAAGCGTGTAATTTGGAACATGTGAAATTTGCAAAATATGCAATTTGGAATCTGTCCAATTAATAAAGCACGTAATTTGCCACGTTTCGTCCATAAATGAGCACTCGAACGTTCTTCCAGATTTTCATGTTAATTACGAAAGTAACTGAATAAGCATTATTACGCGATAAAATATGTTCACACTGTTACGTAATAACCGTCACGTACGGTTTCCAGTATCCCACCGGATGCATACATATCGTTCTGCAATATGGAGCTCCTGCCAAATATTTGCTCGTGTAAACATAATACAGGTATAACTTATTGTAAAATCGAGCGATTTAATAAAATTCCAAACTAGCAGTCTCCATATTTCAATAGTAGCATGATGTATTCTATGCGCGCATAATACGTTGATTTATGCTTATATCATCTGATACACATCATTTCATGGTTTGCATACGAGTTCGTGCAAAGGAATACTAATCAGCTTGAAATTTATTACAATTTATTATATACTATCATTCGGGTTTCTTTTACAGTTTTCTATATCTGTAGGAAGCTTGCTATTAATACGACAATGTTAATCGAGTACAATGAACGACGAACTTCCGTTCAATCCGGTTTGCACCGGAGCAAGTCTGGCAAACTTTATTTAACGTAATGAATCGTTCGATACACTGTAGCTTCGATGTGGGTCATTACAATCACAGAAAGCTACAATTTATTTTTTTTTTCGTTTGCTGGAATGAGAATGCTCAAAGGCAAAAAGAAATAATGGAAGTTTTATCGAACTGTCGAACAAAGTATTCGAATTTGGAAAATATGCAATTTGAAATGTATGCAATTTGGAATAGATGCACTTTAGAATAGGTGCAAATCGCAATGCATGCAATTCGGAATGAGTGCAATTTTGAATGGATACAATTTTGAAATAGGTGCAGTTTAGAATGCATGCAATTCTAAAAACATACGAAAATCTACTCTTCAACAATTACAATTTTATTCCTGCAATACATTCCATGCATTTTCGTCAAATCACACAGGATTAGTCATTCGGGCGAGTTAAGCGCACAAAGGAAGAATAGAAAAAATGAATCCCGGTGCGATCGCTCGACAGGTTGTGAAGCTGCGTTTTACTTCGACAAATGTAATAGTCGAAGCTTAAGCTCGGATTAACACCCCCTCGGGGCCCCTTGAATCATTTAATTCGCAGTTCAGCCCGGTGTCTAATTAGATAATTAAATTGGGTCGTCGTGCCACGTCGGTCGAACTAAGGGACAGAGAACTTCTCCCGGATCTTTTGATCATCTCCAGAGCTGACTCTTAATCTCCTAACAGAAATCTCCTTCTTCCTTCTTTTCCTTGAATACAAATAACCCATCTAAACTATGCAAACAGTGCTACCTCCTACTGGACGGACTTGATAATTGAATAACTTGTGTACCGTTAATTATCGAACTTTCCTTTTACGGGCAATTCAAAGATCGTGACTGGAATAGTGAAATATTAATCGCGATTATTGATTGCAAACTCATTTCAGTTGCTTCAGAAGTGACTCAATGAACTGTCGCACGCAGAAAATGATTTGTCCATTAAATTTTCATTCACTTCTACGTACAAGTAAAACTTTGTAGATTCATACTGTTCGTACATCTATTGGTAATGTCAAGTTGCAACAAAACGTCAGCTACTTATAATCCCATTACTCCCACGAAATCGGAATATCTAGTAATTAATTTCTCATGTGTGCCAGAACAAGCCTCGCAGAATTCTCTGCCGCGCGCAGATAATTACTCAAGCTGATTAATTGTCCCGTAATTATTCCTAGCAATCGGTGCTCCGTATGCAGGCATAAGTACAAAGAACTTCCTTCGCGCGACACAGTTGGTAATACCTTATATTCGATTAATATATTTATGCATCTGAGATCAATTTGTACGGATTAATTTATCGTTCGTTATTCGAATATCCAGGAGAAAGGAGACCGATGAAGCATTCTCGATCAACACGAAATCCGTCCCGAACCAAACGTTTGGTTCAAAGCTGTTGCCAGTCAAAGCACCGGATCCTGAGGGATTACTCGACAGTACACAAGATCTTGTGTAGCTTGCGCCAGAGTTGGCAGTGGATTTAAGTGATTTCGACGTAATGCAAAAGGATTAATATTCCATTGTAAACGAGTGTAAATAAAGTTCAAGGATCCTGGTTTATCTTCTTGCAGCCAGCCTTGACATATCAGTATCGTTCACTTTTTGAAACAATGAGGAACGCTGATTAATCACGTCGCGAGAGGAAAACTTGTTCAGAGAAATCAAATGGCAAATACGGCGAACTTTGTTGAAACGTGAATGTATTAACATTCATTAGTCTCGTGAGCTTGCAGAGCCACGGTGTAAATTAATTATTACTTGTCACGAACGAGCGAGGGTGTTAAAAGATACCTGTGCTTACGACACGCGTATATGATGACACTTTAATCCTTTTGATGTTAAGTACATTTGCAGGGAGTTAATTTTTATTTCCTTTTTGAAAATTGAAATATTGCAACGTGATAATATTAGCCAATAAATATATTATGAAAAGGGTTTCGGACACGGTTCTTTGACTTCGCTTTTATTACCCACATTCCTGTGTATCTTTCATAACATTGCATTTTAATTGTTCTCGATTATCACTGGCCAGGCAGCTACCGCAAAATGCGCCTCGTTTGCATATATAATCCCTCCACCGTGAAATCCTGTATTACACCGAGCATTTTCACTTATAAATATTCACCAGCAGAAAAATCTATTTCCATATGTAAAGTTTCCTAACCGAGGGCAAACTGCTACTACCGAAACGATCTACCCTTTGTTTCTTCATGATTCGCCATGGTTCGTTCATCCTTGTCGATATTTATTACTAATTTATCAGAAATTTCCTTCCATTTTTTTTTTTTTTTTTATCTAACCCTTTAGTTGGCAATTTCGAATTACCTATTGTAAATTAATTTCAGAGGCATTCGATAATTCTAATTTTAATTTTAATTTCAATTGAGTTCTTAAAGAAAATTTTCTCTTCAAATTTGAAACTATGCCACGTGCACTTAATGCAACACATCTTACGTCACGTCATTCAATTACCGCAAATTAATAGCTGAGTCAAAGTGCACGGAGACACGTGTCACCGACATTTAAGTGACGAATCAAAAAGAAGCGGAACAGTAGGATTTTAATGGTTCAGTCGAGGGACAAGCTATCCCCTCTCTCACCCTTCGGGATACCGTATCCAAATATAGGACAACATTTTTCAGCGGCAAATATCCAAACTAGAAACCCTTGGCTGGCATTTCCACTCTGACTATACCCTATCCTTCTCTTTCTCTCGGTCGCGATGAAAAGTTGAGCTTCGAAACCACAGGAAACCCGAAGCTAAAAGCTCTCGCTGCTTCCCAGCTCGTCTGGAAAATGTTTCATAGCTCAACGAGAGGCTTTCAGGGAGAACTTTCGAATGCTATAGAGTTACCCGTGTCAGGAAAATCTGTCCCGCTAACTGCGTTCCATCCCTTTCGATTCTAGTCTCGCACATTTGATGAAAAAGAAAATTCTGTCTGCGATGCCATTCTTCGAGTGTAACAATGTAAGTCTGTTTCTTTACCGTGCACCATCGGAACTACAGATTTCTGTAACAAAATTAATGGAAAAGACTTTTACCATTTTTCAAACTGAGCCTTCATTTTTTAAATATAAAGGAAAATTGGGTGCTTCATTTCCGGGGTAGCTTTTAACCCTTGAATGGGCAAACGGGCATTCACTGATGCTATAATATTTTTTGCTTTTCAATTCGAAAACGTGGATTGAAGTGGAAATGGCAAAAAAACGGGGATCTAGAGTTTTACGATATTTTTAGAAAAATACAAAAAATTGTTAGAGGAAATATGGAAATGGGTAGCCGGATACTTAATTGCCTATATAGAATTTAAAAAAGGTATTTCAGTAGTAATTTGCAGAATGATAAAGGATTTTAAAATTTGTTTCTAATTACCCTCTATATTCGTAATTGAAAATTGAAAATTAATATCACTGATTTATAATCGGAGATTCCAAAGTATTAAATAATTTTAATTAGTTTCCTAAATCTAATCCTGGATTAATTTTCAGAGGGGATGAAACATTCAAAATAAATGACTTCGCTAATTACTTGAAAACATAATTACATTCTGTCATTTGAAAATTTTTTACCAAATTGCACAGCAAAGTAACCCGGAAAGAGTGGCGTGAAATGAGCTCTGACAAACGGTACACGATTTTTGAAGAACTTCCGATGCATCACGAGATATTTACAGACAGATGTAAAAATACATTCAACCATACAGAGTGGGTATAAATAAAACACTCTTGAGCACATTTAACGAGTGTCAGTTTACGTCTATTGAGGAAAAATAGATGAAAAGAAAATTTTAACACGAAAGAAATTCAAGTTTTGTTCATTAATCAATGACAATTAGGATTTCCTTTGAACTTTAATATTTCAATTTGTCATTTTTACAAAAATTACATAAATTAATAAATTAACTTTTCCCGACTGTCAGCTTGAAGAAAATTAGTGACCATGGCATTAAATTTCATGCAATTATGATTGGACAGTAGAAAATAAAAATTATACTCTATTCTAAGGAAATACAATCCTGTCTCCCTTATTTAGCCAAAATCTTGACTGCTAAGCAATAGAATTCAAGGAACGCGAGTTCCCTGGTAAATGGAAAAGCAACGCGAACTTCTGCGGTAGCACTCTTGTCCGTACCGAGTTTTTCAGGCCAAGAATTTGCATGCATTTCCGTCCTGCTAAAGCAGTCTGCAAGTTTCGAATTACTAGATATTATGTAGTCTCTCCTTTTGCTTTTACGTTGCATTTAACCGTTTCAACCGTTTGCGTTAAAAAATACAAATTATTTTTAAGAGAATCATAAACGAACCACTTCATTGGGACTACTGGAACGTAATAAATATCTGCAGAGCGAAGAAAAATTAACAAGAAACTGTAGAAGGTAGAAAATGAAAGAAAGAATCTTTCTACGGTAGAAGCAGAAACTTTCTATTGACAAATACCTGCGATAAAAGTTTGCTCGTTCCATCCATCGCGACTCAAACAAATAGTAAATACCAGTTACTGATTTCTACCTATTTATTCGAACTGCAGCGTATCGACGAAAGAGATGTCGTAAAGTGGATAACACAGAGGAGCGTAAAATTGGAGGAACGTATGCTCGTATTTCTCGAAGACGGCAATCGCGGAAGTTGTTCGTCAGGGAAGTTTGAAATTTTCAAGCGCGCTGCGTTCTCGTGTTTCCTTTTCCAACGACGAGTATTCTTGCATAAAGTTTATTCGAAACACGCTTCGCGAGGAAAAAAATAAAATCACGATCGAATTGATCGCGTCCCTTCTCTTTTCTTCGATTTAACGAACCTCGAACTTGTTTTCGAAATTATTTTCCCGCGATGAAAGTTTGGAGAAATTAGATTTCAGGGTAAACGATATTCGACGCTCGTCGAAGTCAAAGTAATCCGGAAGTTCAGAATGAACTTTGGAATTTTATTTCGTGGCTGGTACGCGATTCATTCGACGCCCGTCACCTTTTTCATCCTCTTCAATCCTGCAAGCTTGTGATATCGATAAAAAAAAAAAAAAACTGAAAAGAGCAGTTTGACATGAGAATCGTTTATTCTCGATGCTTGCCTAATACGGTTACGCGCTTCCGATAAAAATATTTTCTCGAATACGCGTTCGACATCCATTTCGCGAAACAGCAAAACATATTTTCCTCGAGTTTCGATGAAAAAATGAAAATTGACACCTCAGACTATTTCCTTAAACTAAATTTCTTTGAAGACTCACAAGAATAATTTCTAAAATTTGTAACACAATAATATATTAATTTAAACTGAATTTCTACTGTCAGCCTAGCTTTCTAAGAAATAAAAATTCCATCGACTGTTTTTGGCCCATTGCTCCAAATTTGTCCAGGAAGAGAAAACATAAAATTTGAGGTTTTGAGAAATTTGCATTTGTCATAATCTTATCAGTGAAAATAAAACTTGAACTTATCTCATACGGAAAGGTTTGTATTCAAGTAACGCATAGTCTGCGGGGATGTGTCCGCGTGGAGGAACTTATTACGTGAGAAATGAAAGGAAATGAAAAGCGACGGAACGCAAACGGTCGACAATATAAAAATTTCCATATTTAAATTTCTCCACCGTTCGTTGCGTTTTTTCCTATCCTCTTAGCCACCTTTTGAGAATATTCTATGTTTTAATTAAAATCTTCCACCATTTCCCGGAATCGTTACGAGCCTCTTCTTAACTCGAAAGAATATTCCCTCTGCCTGTATGCAGCCCATCAAAACGATAATCACATACTTTTTCACTCAAAAATTCAGTGACGTATAAATAATTTGAAATTGTAGCATCTGCTCATTTTATATCTATTCAATTTTTCAATTACTTTTACTCGAAGTTAGATCCATTGATCCTGTTTAATCTCCTCCTGCCCTATTTTCCATGGAATTCACGGTAAGCCCGGCGTTAAATACTTTGGCATACTTAAAGGTACAAAAAATCAATGAAAATAATTTAATTTAAATTTCAAAACTCGAATACTACTCGCAGAAAAATGGTAAGAAGACATTTCTTCAACCCTTTCGTTTTTATTATCGCCGATGTAAGTTCAAAAATGACTAATTTTCGTTCACAAAAGAACGCTTTGAAATTTCTTCCCGGGGTAAAAGGTTAAGTAATTAACTTTTTTGCGAAACGATCTCGAGCGTTCAAAACACGCCGGTGATCGATCGAAGAAAAATTACGAGTCTCGGTTCGAAGGAAGGGACAGCTCGTCGAGTAGAGAAGAAAGGAGCAGGATTTCTTGCTCTACTCCTTGGCAGTAAGTTAGTCGCTATCTCGAAGATAGAGAAAAAGTTAGCACGGTTTCTCTGGTCGGATCTGTTGAGTGACACGAGCACCCATCACGTTGACTTTCGTTTCTTCTCTGGCGGATTGAGCGCGTCTCGTTGACTCTAACGGCGTGGAAAACGCAGAAAGATGAAATCTTTCCGCGTGGAATTCGACCATCCGAAAAAGGGATTCGTACCCTCGTCGATTTTCGGTGTTTCATTCATCCGGACTGACAACCGATCCTGATTCGCCAGCTTTCAATCTTGGAAAGAAGAAAATCTGTCTTCGAAAAGTTACACTTTTATCGTAAATGAAATATTATTTTATTATTGCTTTGAAATCCATCAGAGAAATTACCTAATACATAGCTTTTCGGTTCCATTGCAAATTGAAATTGCGGACGATTCAATAGGATGTTACGTAAATAACTATTTAGAGATGAATGACCAACGCACCCAGAATTTCAATGAATAGTGGGCGAAGCGATAGGATCGATGTCAATTTTCGAAACAACGATCCAATCTCGCGCTAGATAGTCATATTTAATTAACGTTTCATTAATAACGTGAACTGACACGTGTTGATTAACCAACAAATCATTGAACTAAAAATGGTACAACATGAATTAGTGTAAAATTTGGAAAATAATATAAGATACAAAATTGAATTAAAATTGAGGCTCTCTCCGTGGTCCGCCGTTTTAGTATTAAATGGCCCACCCTAATTACATTCTTCAATTCAAGATGTAATGTCATAAAATGCATCATGATAAATAGCCCTAATTATTTAAGAACCTAGTAGATATACGAGGTAGCACGTACCTAAAGTGAAGCTCAGGTACGTGTACGGAATAATAGAAACCCTTTAAAACACAAATCTCTCGTCGATGAAGGTAACTCTAACACCGTAAATCTTCTGCAATCTCTGGCGACCATATATCTCGAGGAAAAGCGCTTCCCTGGATTTTCTTTGCTTCAAAACGGAATTTAAAACAGATCCAGTGGTAATTGTCGGAATTTTGCTACGCTCAGCAAGCGATAAACGTAAAAGAAGATACCCGAAAAGAGAAGAGAAAGTTTCGATTTCTGATATGATTTCATGACACAAAAGTATAGCGAAATAACACTTATGATATATCAAAATGAAGCTTAAAATCTAATAAAAATAATTACATAAACGTTTCATCAACATTCTTAATATATATTATTTGCTCCAAATATTTAATATTCACAAAGATGGAAAATAAAAATTTATACAGAAATGGAAGATTTCTTATTTGTGTCCTCGAGCTACGTAAGAAAGTTGACAATAGTAAAAAAACAATGAAGTTCCTTCTCTCGAGTTAGTGGTATTGATCAGAAAGTTTGTTACCAGGTTTCAGAAGCACAATGGAAAGGGATACTCTTCTCTTTTTTTTTTAATACAATAGAAAATAAGACGTTTTATTCAACTGCTTCGAACACGCGTCGAAAGAAGAACAGTCTTCAGGAGACACCAATAAATCTCTCGGTAATCCCGATCGATCGTGCTTGCAAAGAAAAGCTCGCGTTTCCATGCAGTGGTGTGGAAACATTGAATTCTTTCCCAGCCAGTGAAAAGCGGCCACAGCAACGACACGTTTCGCTTGTGCAAGAACGATCGCCATCACGTTACACAGCTGCAACAGCTTGCTCATAATACGACTTTTCCTCCAGCCTTTACATGCCAGAAGAATT